TGCACATCTGCTCACAGACTCATGTTCATGTTTGTGCTGATGTTCAATGTTTTATGTTATGAGTGCTTAGTGTATATTTAGTTGATGTTTCTCTTAGTTCATATCTTAGATGTTATTACTGTTTTTCTTATACATTTTATTGTCGGATGTAACTGGGAGCCCGTGTACATAATTTCGCTCCACCACATGTACCACATGAGGTGCGAATGACAATAAAGAAACTCTGACTCTGACTCTGAGAGTTAGGGGACACCCTGGACAGGTTTCTGTTCCATCACAGGGACAAACAAGACAAACAATCATTCACTCTCTCACTCACACCTAGGGACAATTTAGAGTCACCAATCAGTCTAACATGTATGTTTTTGGCCTGTGGGAGGAAACTGGAGTACCCAGAGAAAACCCACGCATGCACAGAGAGAACAAGCAAACCAAGATTTGATCCGGCAACTTTCTTGCTGAGAGGCAACCGCTCTACCAGTTGAGCCAGCATACCGTCCATCTTTAAGGCATTTTGTATGTATTAAAATAAAATTGCATTGCCACTATTACAGGAGGAGTACTGGCCCCTCTTTCTCTCAGTGGTGGTGGTCCCTACTTTCATCCAGTTGTTGCTGTTGCCATGGTTTCCAGAGAGCCCTAGGTACTTGCTGATTGAGAAGAATAATGTCCATGCTACAATCACAGGTCTGTGTCATGACACTGCTACTCAAATTCAATGATATTTTGCACTAAAGGATGAACTGAATTACATTTTGCTTTTGCTACGCATTTTTTAGCTGAAGTTTCAAAGTTGAAGCTGAAAACATGAACTTGTGTTGACTTTTCTCCCTGTGATGTGATTGAGTTTTTTTTTTATCCTTTGCCTTTCAGCTCTGAAGCAGTACAGAGCCAAATGTAACATCCAAGCAGAAATAGAAGAGATGCAGGAGGAACAGCGCTCTCTGTGTTCAGTAGAAACACTGTCAGTATGGAAACTGCTGCTGGATGATTCAGTCCGCTGGCAGGTGCTGAGCGTTGTGGTCATCAATATTGGCATGCAGCTGTCTGGTATTGATGCTGTAAGTACTCTAAATACAATAAACTGGATGCTTATTAAGATAGTCCAAAATCTTTTGCTTTAATCTATTGTTTTACTTTGTGCCAGAACACATTAAGCTTGTAAGGATGTTAGTTTTCTGTGGCCCGGTGTTGTCTGTTTCCCTCG